CGAGGCAAGAGATTGCGCCGATCTAATGGAAAGAGGTAAGGAGTTCCAGAGACGGTAAGCTTGGATAGTGAAAGAATAGGAATAGAATTTAGAAGAATGAATAGGAGTTACTAAACGAAGGGATTATATTGTATGATGCAAATAAAGTATACTGATTCACTCACTCATTCTATTGCGGGACCCTTTCAATAGTAAAAAAAAAGACTGCTCCGGTCACATAGACTTCACTAATCAACGCGCGCATTAAAAGGTAATGAATGGAACTTGGAATGGCTTTGTTCTTCCCCGATAAACGTGATACAACAATAAACATGAGATAATTATTTTGCGAGAAATTATAGTACGATAGGTACCTAAGTGTAATTTTGCTAGCATCTGATCGATTCCTTTTTGAGATGTATTTTTTTTATACAACTTAGAATAGCAAACAAGCTGACGTCCCACCTGATGGAAAGTGGTAACCGTCGCCTATAGACATGAGCAGTATCATGGACATAACAAAGTATACTGTTTCGCCCATGATACCCTCCTAGGTAGGTATCATGGGCGAAACTGTATGTATGTGTACTGTTATGTCCATGGTACTGCTCATGTCTGTAGGCGACGGTTACCACTTTCCATCAGGTGGGCCGTCAGCTTGTTTGCTATTCTATGTCGTATAAAAAAAACGTCGAAAGGTTGGCAATAAAGAAGCAGGTATGTACGTACTATTTACCTGTTATTTTACATTGTATTAAGTCTCTATTGTGTATTTAAAATATACGTAAACAAAAAGAAAGTTTAAAATTAACTAGATTTATGAGTTCTTATAAATTTGAAAATTCTGTATCTGTATAGATACCATATACTAATCAGAGGGAGACATTGTACAAAGGTCGATTGCTTGGGTACCTCTGTTCCATTCGTGTTTCAACCGTGAAGCAGTTGTGTTTGCATAGCTGTGTTTCAGTTTGATGGGTGGGATATGGCGTAAATTTACATGGTACGAAGGAATAACATCTGAGTACTCAGCTTGTTTGCCATTCTAAGTTGCATAAAAAAAAAAACTAAATCTACACAAACCCCATTAAACAAAAGCAACAACGGGCGGCCCCATCGCCGAACAGCGATCCCTTTCAGGCAAGCCAAGGATGGAGAGAATTAAATTGTGTCATTGGTCAAAGTGTAATAGAAAAATAATACGACTAAAAGAAGGGAGAAAAAGATGGTACATGTATGTATTCTTTAATTTCTTTTCTTGTGTATTTATTTATTTATTTATTCTTTACTGCACAATAAAACTTTGTACAAGTGGCGAGCTTAATGCCATATGACATTCTCTATCAGCTAACCATTGGGTAAAAACAGAAAGCGTATGAAGGGCAGATGTGGTGAAAAATATTTGACAATTATAGTAACACATTAAGGCAATACACAATATAAATATAATATAGTGTATGTTATTATTTGTGTACTGCAAGCAATGCAAATAAATATCTATCTATCTTGGTGTTTCCGAACGTGAAGCCCACGCCCCAAAGGGGGGCAATTTGATAATTAAGGGGAAGCAATGAAAAAATGGACTCGAATCGATTTTAACCCTTGCTCCGGGCCATTTAAATGCAATGCTACGAGTAGATATCGGTGACAAATTTAACAAAAAAAAGTAAAATAAAAAATGCTGTAAATATTTATTAGGTATAATTTCGTTTGACGTTACCATAATTCCGTTAGTACTAAACCGATTTAGAAAAATCTTTTTTTTATTTTAACCGGTGTTTCCCAACGTGGACCCACACCCCACAGGGGAGCAATTTGATAGTTAGGGGGGGGGGGGCAATTAAAAAATGGATTAAAAGCGATTTTAACCTTCTTGCTCGTGCCAAATTTAATAAAAAAAGTAAATTAAAAAAAAATGCTGTAAATATTTATAAGGTACAATTTCGTTGGACGTTACCAAAATATCAACTGGGCGATTAGAGTAGTCAAGTAAACTTTGTCGGGAAAAATTATGTATGGGGGCATAAAAATTTTAGAAATGTTCAAGTGGGACATGGCACAAAAAAGTTGGGAAACACTGGTCTAAATAGATAGATAGATAATTTATTTGCATTAATTACAGCACACAAACTATAATATATACATAAAAAGCGAGATTACATAAATGGTTAAAAAAAATACATAAAGTCAAGCACGATTTTCATTTGTGCGTGCGCCATAACAATACAAAATGGTCACAACTCAGTTTATTGCTTCGCCCTCAAAAGAGCAAAGCACTGATATTCTGTTGCGGCCAAAGGGAATAGTGTAACAATAAAACAATACTACCAGATTATCCATACAGTAAACAGACAGATATGACAGTCTATCTAGCAGACAAATGGAACATAGAGGTAACTTTACCAGAGGGAGACTTTGTACAAAAGTCGATTGCTTGGGTACCTCTGTCCCATTCGTGTTCCAACCGTGAAGCAGTTGTGTTTACATGGCTGTATTTCGGTTTGAAGGGTGGAATATAGCGTAAATTTACTGGGTACAGAGGAATAATACCTGAGTCCTCAGGAATTCTTCACGGTACAACTTTTTCACGGTAGAAACACGAATGGGACAGAGGTACCCAAGCAATCGACCTTTGTACAAAGTCTCCCTCTGATAAGTATATGATATCTATACAGATACAGAATTTTCAAATTTATAAGAACTCATAAATCTAGTTAATTTTAAACTTTCTTTTTGTTTACGTATATTTTAAATACACAATACAGACTTAATACAATGTAAAACAACAGGTAAATAGTACGTACATACCTGCTTCTTTATTGCTAACCTTTCGACGTTTTTTTTATAACAGTACACATACATACAGTTTCGCCCATGATACCTACCTAGGAGGGTATCATGGGCGAAACAGTATACTCTGTTATGTCCATGCTACTGCTCATGTCTATAGGCGACGGTTACCACTTTCCATCAGGTGGGCCGTCAGCTTGTTTGCCATTCTAAGTTGTATAAAAAAAAAAATTTCTAACTTTTGCCTCTCAATTAACTAATCAATTAATTAATTTATTTATTTATTTTCCCGCGAAAAGATTGCATTAAATACCTTTTTTTTTATTTATTTACGTCGTCTCGTTGTCATATTTTTTATAGTTTGTTTTGTTTTTAATGAGTGTATTAATTAAACGTATCAGTTTCTATTTTGGTCGTTTATAAATATATAAGTAGATATGTTAAACTTGCCGCTTGTAAATAATTGTGATATTTTTTTTATTTATTTTTTTTTTTATAGGATGATAATAGAATAGAATAGAATAGAAAATCATTTATTCAAATAAACTTACATTGAAGCACTTTTGAATAGTCATTAAATTTTTTTTTAATCTACCGCTCGATCGGAAAGCTGTCTCATCACAAGAACGTGCAAGAAACTTGCGTGTTGCTCTCGTTGCTTAATAAAGTAGTAACCCCGGTGCGTAGTCGGTTTACGCGTAAATTACAAATGGGAGAAGTTAGACAAGGATGGAGTTTGTTTTAATGGATGATAATGGAATTGTGAGGGGGGAAGGGGATTGTTAGCAATGGAGTTTGACAGCCCCATTGCTAGCAATATGCCCTATTAGGTCGACCTCACGTAGTACCGTCTGAAAAAGTGATTACTTCTCGTGGAATTCTTCACGATGGTAACTGACCTGCTTTCATCCTCATCTATCATCGCACACAGAGGAATAACACCTGAGTCCTCAGGAATGGCAACGCATGGGGGGTATCATGGGCGAAACAGTATACTCTGTTATGTCCATGGTACTGCTCATAAACAGTATACTTTGTTATGTCCATGGTACTGGTCATGTGGTACCATAGAGGCGACAGTTACCATTTTCCATCAGGTGGGCCGTCAGCTTATTTGCCATTCTAAATTGCATAAAAAAAGACGATGTAGTGACCAAAAAAGAAAATGGTGTGTTGCGTTGGTTTGGTCATTTGGAGTGGATGGATGAAAGAAGAATTACGAAAGAGATTTATCGAGCAAGAATGAATGGAGATGTCGGCAGGCTTCATCATTCATTCCATATTTTATTTCATTATCTAAACCATGATTCTTTTATGCGCTTATCTAGTTTAATGAAAGATTGTGTCCCACATAAAAAAAAGAACACTGTAATTGTGTCAAATATGTTTTTTTTTTATCTAAAAACTAAACTGCTGAACCGATATTGATAAAATTTCTATAAGATCAATTTGTAAATATATCGTTTCAGATAAAAAAAACAGAATTTTCCAAATCAGTTTAGAGGGGCGGAAAGGGCTTGTTAGCCATGGAGTTTGACAGCCCCATTGCTAGCAATATGCCTTATTAGGTCGACCTCCAAGTAGTTCCATCTGGAAACCATCGTGAACAATTCTTGTTGAATTTGTCACGATGGGCTAACTGACCTGCTTCATCCTCACATACCATCCTTCACTGGTACCCCGCCGGTGTATACTAATAGCGCGGGTGGGGTTACTATTTCATTATCATCCATTAAAAAAAATCAGTTTAGAATGGACGAAGTTATCAGGTAACAAATGTAATAAAAAAATGCAACCAAATTAAGAAACTCTTTGTTTTTAAAGTTGGTTGAAAATTGGGGAACATAGACTGTAAATCTATTTAGAAATATTCTTACTGTAATTTATTTTGGGTGAAAAATATTTACTTAAAACATGTCAAGAGTAAGCCGTTTGTTTTAAATACGCTATTTTTTTATTGTCACAGCAGAGGACCTACCATGAAATGTTTTCCGAAATTTAGAGATAGAACGAAACTCAAAATTAATTATTAAAATTACACGATAAATACCGTTTAAAAATATTAAAAATGCTAAAATAATGTTCCTTTGTACTTTAATGGTGGGATTTATGACTAAAGAAAGGTTAAACTCCATTAACTAGGTCGATTTCGGTATGAAAAAAAAAACACGAAATTGGGTCCGAAAATTCGGATTTAGATTTCATGGTAGACCAGCAGGTTATTCACCCACCTCATCACTCCATTCACTATCACCGTACTCCCCGTCGTTCACAGCACTTTTCTCATCGTCCCCTTCCCTCGCCCCCTGCAGCTCCTTCACCACCCCGTCCAGTTGTTCAGCACTCAACATCCCCCACATCTGTATCGCCGACAACAACTCCTCGTCCTCATCACTCAAATCGATCCGGTCCGGGGTCAAAGAGTTCAACCTGTCCAACTTCTCATACAATTTCTCTTGGGGTGACCTCACCAAATTACGTCCCACGGGTGCGATGGTGATTTTTTCTAACTTCTCGTACAGTTTGTCAAGTCTGTCCGCTAGTGATGGCGCGTTTGTGTTAACGTGTGCGGTTCGGATGCGATGCGACAGTAAAATTATGAGCACGGATAAACGCAACATGTTGGGAGCGCGGCGGGTAACCGACTGGGCACAAGCGCTGCCAGACAACATTGCCAGATGCGATTTGTTACTTCTCCTCAAATTTCAAATGTTTTTTTTTTCTCCAATTTAATACGATTTCCTTCACTTTTAGGTAATGGACACTATAACGTACAAGAATGACAACGCGTAATGCGACGTAGAAGATTTCTTCTATGATGTCCAGAGTACCTCTCATCATAAAATTCATAGAATTATGACGTACATGTCTGTAGGCGAAGGTTACCACTCTCCATCAAGTTTGCCCTTAACTTTATTGCCTTTCTAATTGCATACAAAAAAAAATCACTACACGAGTGAGAAAGAAAAACTGATCTTCTGTATACTACTTTCTCGACGTCAACGCCATCTATTTTTAAACTTAAAACAAGCGAAAAGTTCACAATTCTGCGGCATTTGTTATGTTTGTCACTTCATGACTTCATCATTTGTAAACGACTTTGGAATATTCTTTTTTTTTTTTATTAAGGATATACTTTGAGATCGGTCTCGTAAAAATTTTATCGAAAATCGGCTCAATAATTTAGTTCCTAACAATGTTGATACCTCCATTTTTTTATAGAGCAAAATCTTAAATTATATTGTCTTTAAAATAATTCTACGAATATATGAATTCCAAACTCAAAAACACTATTCTAAATTGATCATATTTATTTTAAACGTCTCCGATAAGTTTATTTTACAAAAATTTCTTAGTACAAAAAGTTTTACTCACAATTGTGAAAAACTAAGCAATCTGGTAACACGGTCGCTAGCACATGGCGCGCACGTTGCGCCGTTTTTAGGTAGAGTTGTGCGGCCGCTTGTGTTATTAAAATAATTGCTAGGTGCAGCATTTATCTGGTTCACTGTATACAATTTGCATTTATTAATTAACCAAAAAGACAATCGTGATTAAAATTTCACTTCAATAAACGTTATCCGCATTATCTAGTCTGATTTGTATAACTTTTTAAAAAATCTAGAAAATAATGACAAATGGCCGATGAGTTTCGTCTTAGGTAAATGTACTATTGCTCCGTATTGCATCTTTAAATAATCTAGTCGGATATTAATGTCAAAAAGAAATTAATTATCTATTTAATTACTGTATGTTATACTTTGGTGACCGCGTACGGGTAAACGCAGTGTAGGACGAACCTCCACTAGATGGAGTGACGACCTGAAATGCATTGCAGGGAGTCAGTGTATGCAGGTGGCTCAGGACCGTTCTTTATGGCAGTCTATGGGGGAGGCGTATGTCCAACAATTTTGATAATGGAATAGTAACCCCGCCTACGCTAACGGTATACACTGGCGGAGCAAGATATGATTAGTGAGTCAGTTAGCCCATCGTGACGAATTCAACGTTAAATTAGTTACGATAGTTTCCAGGAGGAACTACGTGGAGGTCGACCTGACAGGGTATATTGCTAGCAATGGGACTGGTAGTCTACACTAGTAACAATCCCTTCCCCAACAGTAGATGAATAATGGCTGAAATTATACTTTTTTTAATGGGTGATAATGGAATGGTAACCTCGCCTGCGCTATTGGTATACGCTGGCGGGGCACCAGTGAGAAATGACAGTTGAGGATGAAAGCAGATCAGTTAGGTCGTGACAAATTCTACAAGAACCAATCTCGATGATTTCCTAAAAAAAATTGCGTCTACTTGATAAGTCTTGATATATTGCTAGTAATTTGTTTCCCCCACCAGTATTCATGAGGTTACCTGATAAATATAAAATGTGGTTGACTCAAAGGATCAACAAGCTAAAATGGCAATGGACCAGTCGCTTTAGGTCCATAAAATGACAACCGACAGAGAAGAAAGACAAAGGAATAAGAAATCTCTCACTAGATGGGGTAACGAACTCAAAAGTTTGTTTTTTATTCTATTCAGAATGGCAAATAAGCTGATGGCCCTCCTGATGGTAAGTGATAACCGTCGCCTATAGACATGAGCAGCACCATGGACATAACAGAGTATACTGTCTCGTCCCTGATACCTCCCTTGTGTTGCCATTCCAGAGGACTCAGGTGTTATTCCTCTGTACCCTGTAAATTCACTGCCATATCCCACCTGTCAAACCGAAACGCAGCCATGCAAACACAGCCAGTTCTATCCCAGGCCTCCTGTTCTATCCTTGACCTCCCCATTCGATATGACACCTAGTGTTTTTTATCTGTCCCATGTAGTTATTCCTCGGTCTTCTACTTCCTCTTTTGCCCTATATTTACTTCTACTATGTTCTTTAAAAAGTCGTCATGTCGTATAAGATGGCCCAGCATTTTGTCACTTCTATAAAACAGTATTATAGATGACAATGTCAAATAATAATCTGTATGTGATTAACAAATACAATAATATATAGATTTCAATTCAATTTGTACAATACGAGTATGTCACAGCTTACATTTATGTCAAGTATGGTACACTAAATATTGTCACATTTATAATCAATAAATTCTCTTACCGTGTAGAAACACTTTTGTAAGAGCCACTTCGACAAGGTTTGTTTGAATTGTTTAAGACCTAATTCTTTAAATTCTTTTATATTTATATTACATTTTTAATGTTTCATCCAAGTATTTAATGAATCGTAAATATATTGTTTCATTTCATTCAATAGTAGTTATATTTGAACTCTATTTTTTTTATTAACTCCCCTTAAGGCTTATGTCTAGCAGTGGACAGTTAAAGGCTGAAATAATAATAATAAATATATTTTAATAGTGTAAGTAAAGTCTATTTGTATTTCACTATTTTAATGCAAAAATACCAGTTATTAAACGAATAAATTGTAAATTTAAATAAGTAATACCTAAGTACATATAATTCGTACGCTTTCTGTTTTTACCTAACGGTTAGCTGGTAGAGAATGCCGTATGGCATTAAGCTCGCCATTTGTACAAAATTTTATAGTACAATAAAGAATAAATAAATAAATAAATATACTACTATACTATACTTCTATTATACTTTAATACTACGTATAGGGGGGAAAGGGATTGTTAGCAACCCGAGTTTGACAGCCCCATTGCTAGCAATATGCCCTATTATGTCGACCTCCACGTGGTTCCCCCTGGAAACCATCGTGAACAATTCTTGTTGAATTTTTGACGATGGGCTAACTGACCTGCTTCATCCTCACCTATCATCCTTCACTGGTGCCCCGCCGGCGTATACCGATAGCGCGGTTGCGGTTACCATTCCATTATAATCCATTAAAAAAAATGCTACTTGTACAATAACTTTAAATAAAGTCTAATGTATTACCGAAGTATTTTACAAATCAATATTCGACGGCCGGTATTCGACGCGTTCGCCCTACTTGCGCTTCAAAACGCAATATTTATGGATATGTTATAAATACCACGACGTCTCGCCGTCATTCACGAACCCGTCTGGATATAGACGAGTTCCGTATACCGTCGGCTTATCTAAATTAGCGATCGTGACAATTTAAATACCAGAAATAAGTCTGAAACCGTTATAATGGACTAAAATTATTTTTATAGCCCACCAGGAATAGGAAATGAGCTAATAATCAGAGGGAGACTTTGTACAAAAGTCGTTTGCTTGGGCACCTCTGTCCCATTCGTGTTTCAACCGTGAAGCAGTTGTGTTTGCATGGCTGTGTTTTAGTTTGAAGGATGGGATATGGCATTGAATTTACAAGGTACAGAGGAATAACACCTGAGTCCATAGGAATGGCAACGCATTGGAGGTATCATGGGCGAAACAGTATACTCTGTTATATCCACGGCACTGCTTATGTCTAGAGGCGACGGTTACCACTTTCCATCAGGTGGGCCGTCAGCTCGTTTGCCATTCTAAATTGTATAAAAAAAAAGAAATAAGCACTTTAAAACAAAACCATACTGTTCAAAGTACTGTATTCATCAATAACCAGGTTGCGATCCTAATAATATTTAGAACGGACAAAAAACTAATTAAATTAAATATTCGAATATTTATTTTTTATATAGGTAGGTAAAAAAAAAACATACACGTAATACACAGCAAAAGAGACAAAAGAATAAAAATAAATAAAGCACAAATAAAAAAAAATACAAAAACAAAATATATAATCCAACAATCTCCTTTGTTACCATTCCTTCATGCGTGTGCCATAATAACACATATTGATTATTTGACTTTTATGAAACATTTATTTATTTATTTATTTAATACTTTATTGTACACATTAGTTATAAAAATATGACAGAGGTAAACAAAAGTACAAAGGCGAGCTTAACTCTGATAGAGTTCTCTTCCAGCAACACCCAAAGTGGAAAGGAGCATCAATGTCGGCGGATACAGCAGTGTACAATTTTTAAACAGCCAAAATTAAATTAATTATTATTTATGCATCATTTATATAAGTATGTATATATATAATACAATTTTATCTTTGGCTGTTAAATTGGTTACACAGGTTACACTCTGGGTTTGTTGTACGCGTCCGTGTAGCCTGCTGAAAATCAGTGCTTTGCTTTTAAGCAAAACTATCACTGAACTGTAGCCTATTTGGGTCACTGCGACACACTTGGTGAAAACATATTTCCATACTTCATCTTTTGTTTTATATTTGAAAAAGTGTAAATAATCTGATTGTATAAACGCATTTATTAATTTACGTGTGTCATAAATGGCTCAGATAAAGTGTTTATCTATCTATGATTTTTAATCAAAAATTACTAAAAAAAAACAGCGAATTAAAACGTTAATTATGAAATGAATTGCACGTAAATTTACTTATAACAGACAAAACTTTTATATTTACTTCAGAAAATTATTAAATTTTATTTATTTTTAACCGATTTCCAAAATATTAATAGCTATAATTAAACAAAAATTACAAATACAGTACACATCAAACGGATTATTAACGACGTGTTTAGATCGGACGGTTTCAATTTACATAATTGCAAGATTACTCACTGTTTATGCCTCAATCTTATCTGTTCGTATCTTCGGCCGTAACCAGGTCAGTAAGCTTTGCGCACACTTACGTCATCTGGTA